TTATGAGCTTTCACTGACAATACTTATTAAAGATAATTTTAAGCGTGAAAACTGTCCATATTTTGACGTCATGATATGTAAATTAAAAATCGTTATTTTACGGTGATAATCTTGTTTTCTTGTGCCCAATAATGCATAATTTCATTTGATAAACACGTTTAGATTGAATGGTAATTTATAATCAGTCACAAGAACGTCGAATCTGAATCACTTGAAAAAAATACAGGGGGTGCTTAACTTTTTTCAGGTGTATATATGCACACACTTATTTATTACGGTATTTCCGATATAACTTTTCATTGAAATTTCATACTTGATAACAAAATCTAAGCAAAAATCGAAAACTTACCCAACTCAAGCCTTCACGTAGTCCAGCTAAAAAGCTGTAAGACTTTTCAATCATTTGATATTAACTCTGAACTAAATAACCTGATCTCATACGTACTTTGGAAATCAGTTTATAATTTACTTCTGTTGACGAAACAAAAAATCAGTTCATTAACACTTTTGTGTTAAAGGTTCAAATAACACCTATCTTTCATGAAGAATATCCATCGCCGTTTCATTTTCACAATTTTTCAATAATGCGCAAAAATAACGTAAACCCACTGCGTAAACAAAGTTTGAAACAGTGTGAATTTAACAATCTAGTTTGTCAAGCGTATTACGCCTGAATCAGTAACAGTGGAAGAAAATATTACATAAGTTGCACTGAATACTTTTCAACGATTAATAGTACACAATTAATATTTAAAATGAGTGTCCCCAGTCTCAAAATAGAATAAAAAATGTTGTTTTATTTAATTTACTTTCAAAAGTAAAAGACGATTGTTTGTTTGTAATTAAGCACAAAGCTACACAATGGCCTCTGACCACCACGGGGGCCAGTATCATTTTAAATATTTAATGTATTATTAAACGTTGGCATTATTTCTTTAACACATCTGTGTTAATGATAACAGTTTATAGATCATCCACGAGTGTATTTATTGCAATAAATTTCATAGTAATTGTTAATGAATAAGGGCATGATAAATAGAAATAAACAATTTTGTAAATCTCTTTTTTTTCAACACAATAATGGAAAATACGATCTATCCAGAAGATTACAGTAACCGCCCACAAAGGAGTTTAGAGAAATCCAGGCTATAAACTATACACCTCTGCATGATTGTTTGTAAGTAAGCATAGAGCTACACAATGGGCTATCCGTGCTCTGCCCATCACGGGTATCGAAACATGGATTCTAGCGTTGTAAGTCCGCAGACATACCGCTGTGCCACTGGGGGGGGGGGGCCTCTGTATGAAGAGAACTGAAACTGTGAGATCACAGACGACTTCCTAATTATAAAAGTATAATATCATAACGCCATTAAAAAAAAACATAATAACGTGCATCATTCGACAATACTTTTTTGACGATTATGGATAATTCAATAACTGCAAATCGTTTTAATTAAAAAAACTTTAAATACAAAACACGTTCCAAGCACTTAGATACTGTGCATTCATTTTAAGGTGAATTTATTTAAACAGCTTTTTATTCCACTAATAAATGTAAGACGAATCATTTCATATTAATCTTTCTTGGTATATTTAATAAACCAATAACTGTGAGATTAGAAAATACACGACAAATTACACATACTGGTTACAAATTCGGTAAGCTGACTTATTCAGTTATTCATATATGTTTATACGTATGTATACAGTATATGTACAACAAAGCCCGCATTACAGGCATCAGAATAATTTTCTATGTATGCTGCTTTTAAAAACGCTAAGTAGATAAAACTATATCCCCTGTCAGCTGTTTATACCTGAGCATTAGCAATAATATATATATATTATTATTATTATTATGTGATTGAATAAGTATTGTTTATTAATCCACTGTCCCACCTCTTACATGAGAAATGTGTAGAGGCTAAATTGGGATTTTGAAAGCATATTTCTGTTATCTAATGTTTGTATGTAATCTGTGTAGTAATTACTAAACTTCTCTGCTATATCTTCAATAGTAACTGCATATGACATATTTCTCAAATTGATATTGATTTGTTAGAAATATGTTGGTTAAATTGGGATTTTGAAAGACGTGGTATTTCTTGTCGTGTTCCACTTAAACATTCCAATCAGAAGACCAGGAAAGCTCACAGTTTAATTCTCAAGAGGTGGAACTCGGTTTGGACTGTTCAACCCCAATTTTACCACTAAGAATATGTTAAAAAATATAAATTAAACGTTTTAAAATGTTCATCAGTTTAAAATAAAAAGGTTGAATAAATAGCTTAGGTGCTAACTAATGGAATTAACAGTTTTTGGACAAAGAAACTGTAGTTAATATATAAAATATTGTGATGCACCTTAGCTAGTGATCTTAAAACATACTTATGCTTTTTTTTCATTAATGTTTGTTGTATTTATATTTTCCAAATTCATTCACAGAAGCAACTTAGTTTGCTTCCAAGGACTATAAATGTCTTGGTTTATGTATTAATCACAGTTCTCTGCAAAGATTTACACCAAACATTTCATATATATGTCAGTGGTTCCATCAAAATAAAACATATTGAGAATGCTTTTAAAAAATTAATAAAAAACGTAAAAAAAAAGATTGAACTTTATTTATTGCTGCTTAACACTTAGTTCACAATAAAAACTGCTTCTCCTAAATCATTTATACACAGTTACCAAAACTAATAAATCTTCTGTTAAAATCCACACAAAAGCACATAATACTACATTTTACTATGTTAAAGCAGGGCCCAAATACAGTGCTTGTTGCACCAATAGTTATTTAACAATTCTGCTTATTCAGATTTTACACACTTGTAGCAGATCTGGTCGTCCAACTTGAAATACTTTTTATAGTTAAAAAAAATAGTAGTTACTCTAAAATAGTAATGACATGAATTACTTAAAATCTTGTCATACAAACTTATGTCTGAATTGAAAATTAACTTGTTTCTCTTTTAACTGTATCACAGTTTAGAGAAATGGGGTGGTTTCTTTTCTCTTTTGGCAACAGCTTCTGAACCCTTGATGACGTCCTCACTTTGAAGCATGGTCATATTCCAACATTGCTTTATCAGACAAAAGAAAGACGTTAGTACTGAAATTTTCAAGTTGAATGATTAAACAATACAGACACAAAAAAAGAGAAGAGAGAAAATCTGTTCTATTTTTACTATTAAACAGTTTTCATAATTAGCTTAATATCTGTAATTTAACTATTAGTAATATTCAATCTGTTCATAAGTGATTTCAGAAAAAAATGCAATGTTCATACCAATTTCTTTTAAAAGAAAATATTGAGAAACTAGTTTCTACAGTATTAGCTTCAGCATTTTTTACAAGTAACTTGCCAGTCACCTGTTATGGATTAGGCAATCTCAATCAATTTATAGATCCTCCATAGTAGAAATTGACTGAAAAAAGTAGTGACAAGCAGTATAAAACAGAAAAGCCTAAAAAAACTGTTTGTAAACTAATATTATCATTTTTTTATATAAAATTTCTAAAAACTAAAGTGTCAAAATTAGACTTAATATCCTGAAACATGAGAAAAATGAAAATGTTAATTCATTTATAAGCCTATAAACCTGACATATATATGAAACAGTTCCAAATTGCTTATGAGATTTGTCAGATAGCAGAAAGGTATAAAAAAAAAGATTAGTACATGGAAAATTGAGTTTTGTTAAACTGATCCAGTAGTGATAAATTTGAAAATATTTTTTCATCATACTTAGAAATTACATCATGTTGGATTCATGCAGTTTTTAGCAAGCTTAAGAACATTCAAATTTAATGTCAACTCACATACAAACCTTATATACTCAGTAGACCATGCTTTCCGTTATTAAAGAGAATTCATATCTGAGATACGACAAAACTACAAAGCTTACCATAAACTTCAATCCTTCACTGACAGTATGGTCTCGTGAATAGTTCAAAGCCACTTTACAGCCTTGAACAGCTACTGGACTCTTAGAAGCAATAGATTCTGCCAGTCTGTCAACCTCAGACATCATAGCTTCTTTGTTAGGGAAAACTCGACTTACAAGTCCCATCTTCAGAAAGATTAGTTAAGATCTAATCAGCCTTGGTAATATACAATTGTTAAATGTACAAATCTTTGCCATATATCCGATCAGGTCTTAATTAATTCTTAATGAAGTTTTATGATTAAACAATTGAAAGCCATGATCAAAAGTTAAAAAAAAAAACTCATGACCTCTAGGTGAGACATAAGCCAAGATGTGTTAATACCTAGACCAAGCATTAGTTTAAATTTAGTAATTAGTTTAGTATAATAATAATAATAATAAAATTACATACAAGATTTTGCAAGGCCAAAGTAGTTGTTTGATTATTTTTGTACAAACATGCTTATGAAAAGATCTATAATTAAGGAAAATAAAAAAGGAGGTATAAAACTTTGATGTCCAAATTGCTAAGTGATGCCTACCACTACAAGCACATCTTCATGGAACAGAAATCACAATAATATTAGAAATCATCTAGAAGTACAAAGTTACTATCATTCTAAATCACAATAATATTAGAAATCATCTAGAAACACAAAGTTGCTATCGTTCTAAATCACAATAATATTAGAAATAATCTAGAAGTGCAAAGTTACTATCATTCTAAATCACAATAATATTAGAAATAATCTAGAAATACAAAGTTACTACCATTCTAAATCACAATAATATTAGAAATCATCTAGAAATACAAAGTTACTATCATTCTAAATCACAATAATATTAGAAATAATCTAGAAACACAAAGTTACTATCGTTCTAAATCACAATAATATTAGAAATCATCTAGAAGTGCAAAGTTACTATCGTTCTAAATCACAATAATATTAGAAATCATCTAGAAGTACAAAGTTACTATCATTCTAAATGGTGCCTTCAATCAAAGTAATAATGTGTCTAGTTATTAATGAAAAGCAATGATCATCATATTAATAACACATTGCAAGTTGTTCTAAAAACAATCACAATTTCAAAATGTTATTAAAAATTTCTAATACACAAAGCTTTTACTCTTCAAAATAGCATACTCTTTCAGTTATTTCATGTTTATCAGTATCTTCTTTAGAAGTTTGGAACAAAATTCTTTAATTTTCTTTTAAAGACAAAAATGAGGGATCATAACCTTAGATATAAACTTTGTAATTTAAATTTGATTGTTTTCAGACTATAAATACACTTACTCCTTTAGCTTCACCAGCTTCCACCTTTCTTGCTGTGTAAATCATCTCCCGCACCATACTGTTGTTGCCAACTCCTTTTGGAACTTTTTGGAGTGTTCCTAAATCTGGGGCAAAGCCCAAATCAACTTCCTGGAGTTTGATTAGATAATTAAAGAAGGGCATGTGATTATAAGCATACTTGACACAAGAACAGGTAATTTATTCTGAGACATTGTAAAGGTAATTATTATGTTTTTCTTAATACATACAATAACCAGTTATTCCTTATAATTGCATTTTATGGTTAAACCAATCTAAAAGCTTTTATTGTTGAGGAGCTTCCTCAAATAGAAGAATAAAACTATACTAATAGGAAATGTTATAGGTATTTGAGAAAAACCAAATTTCAGCAGTGTTAGCATTTTAAGAGTTAAAATTCAAACTAAGTAGTGACTGGACTACAGTATTAATAAAATAAAATTCCTTGTGAAAATTAGTAAGTTACTGAATAGGCTTTAATAATGAGGAGTAAAATATAATTCTACACTTGTTAAATTTTATGTGGAATGAAATTAGGTATAGCTGGAAAAAAATTGTTTTTTGTTGTTTTTTTTGGGGGGGGAAGATAAGCTACATGGTTTAATAGCTTGTAGTAGTAAAAATTAATATGTGCAAGGGTGAGAAAAATATTGTACACTTGAGACATTATGAAAAATATTTTAAGATGTTCCCTTGCAATTTCATGCATCCTTTTGGGTCATTGATCATCATGTAGGTAAGCATCAGGTGGTGAAAAAGGGAGACATTGAAAAAAAGGCCTTAAATTAAGTCATTTCAGTAAGTTTGCTCTAATGGCTTTAAGCAAATTATTTGGTTAGAGATACAGCCTGCGTGAGTTGTTACAATTCAATTACTTGATTTTCTTCAATGAAACAAGTTTTATATTTCAGCAGGTCAAATCTAGTATATAAGCATAAAAAAAAAAGATAAAGAAATAGCTGCACCAGAAAATTTCTTTTAAAATATATCAGAAAAGATATTAAACACAATTACTTAACTCAGTAAACATTTAACATAAATATCCACTTATTTTTATATTCTAGTTATAAAGGCCATGTTTCTTTTAAAGTTAATCTTATTAGCACACATTTTCTTCTGGTATATTCAGGTTTATATACATGTCTAATTATAACAAGTATACCTCTAAAACCATTTGAAACAGCCCAATACACACAGGGGAAACAATTTTTCAGTACAACCTAACAATTCAAATTATGCAAACAATTTGACCTAATTTGCATATCTGATGATCTCACACATCCAATATGGCCACTGTATTTGAAAATTTAATAGTTTTTTTTTTTATTATTCTTATTTGACCATTCAAGAACGTATCCACTTTTTAACTCAGATAATACAAAAGCCTTGAATCCACAGTTATCTGGTTTATTAGGGTTTCACTGTTGCAAAATACTTTGTTCTTTGAATGCAATTGTCATTTCATCCAATGCCAATTTCTTTTTTGAACCAACTGGTTGTGTAAATTTGGAAGTTATCATGTCAATCAATGGAAACACCTTGAATCACCTGTCATGACACAAAGTACTTTTGGCAATTTAATCATTATTGTTTACAAAGTGCAGAAAGCTCAAGAACAATTCATATCTGTCCCTAGAACGAACACAGCAAAAATCAGTTGTGTCAGTCAGCCAAAATGTGTCCCAGTTTTCCTCAATCTTGCAGTTATCGATTAAGCTGAATGCAAGGTGCAAAGCAAAGAATGTTTCATCTCTTGAGAGTTCACAGGTACTTGTTTACAAAGTCATGAATGTGGTTTCAAATCACCACTTTTCCTTTGTAAAAACTGAGAAGCATAGCAGCTTGTTTCTATTACAATGTGATGAAACACACCATCCACGAATAATTGCAAAAAATTGATAGGGTCTGAATTATTATAGATTCTGGTTGCCCCTGTAAATCATAAAAGTTGTAAATCCAAAGTTGAAAATATTTATCACCCACTACCACCTCCACCCATCATTATTTGCACCACCAAATTCATGCCTAGCTTGAATGCCATGAATAAGTCGACCATGGCCATATGTAGGTAGTTGTGCCTTACTAGGCCTAGTCCTGGGAGGATGTGTATGTGTAGTTGTACACCTACCTGTACTAGTAATGGCTATTATGTCCTGTGCCATGTTTATGAGATCTCCCTTGAATAATACCATAAAATTTGTCCCTTTTAGACATGGAAACCTTGTAATCGCTGTCACCAACATCACTTACTCCTATGGCCCCAGCTTTGACATTACTACTATAACTATCCACATCAGTAACAGTCATATCATGCTCAGAATCATTGTCAGATAATTCAGGTTTAGAGCCAGAATCATTGTTAGCTTTTAAAAGTTAAATTGCCTTTTCAAGTGTGAAAACACTAGAGCAATTTAATGCCATTTTGGGTGCATTTTCTCATAAAAATCCAATAATTTTCAAGTGCAAATATTACCAATTTTTAGAATAGCAACATACACCATGTTAGATATGAATCGGCAGCTGAGATCATTCTCTTTGCAGACTAGGCTTTTGTCTATTGTTTTTTTGCACTTCATTCGCATTTCTAGTGAGAAATTCAAACTGCATTATGTGGCAACGGGTGTGCCTAAAAAGTTAAAGATAATATGGTCATACAATCTTGTGGAAACATATAATACAATTTTGAAAATTACCATTCTGTACAACATAACATGACATTTACCAATATTGTTATTGTTTAGTTTGTGAAGTTTTATAATTCTATGTTTTGAAACATTACATATAGTGCAATAAAGTAAGCTAGTACTTTTTTCCTACTAAAACTGACTTATTATGTTTTAGTATTTTAATTCTGTTACAATTAGAATAAACTATTTATTGATTTTGAACCATACCATGCCTCATCAAGTTTTTTTTATGCATAACTTTTTTTATCAGCTTTGTAAAGCTTGTAAGTTGAAAATACAAATATGGTTCAAAATGGTATGACAGGAAATGAAAAAAAAAACTGTTCATGTTCTGACCAAAGACATTAAAACAACTTTGTTTGTTTTAACCATTCTTGTATTTTCAAATGATACCATGACTTAGTTGCACTTCTTTTTGTATATGTGATGAAATATAAATATCTCATCACCTTTACTTGAAACCAAGCATCTTGAGTACAATACCGGATATCACAAGCTGCAATTAGGTCAACACCACTTCCAATACACCCTCCATGAATGGCTGAAATCACGGGTTTTTGGCACTGGAAAAAAGAAAACAATTAAATATTACATTATAGCTCACAGTAGTAAGAATACTTTGGCAAATTCCATAATCTTAGGTATTTAAATTGTACACACAACCTGTACATATATGAACTAATTTCAATATCAAATACTCAAATAAGCTAGGGTTTTGTTTGAAATGTAAGACAAAGATCACTAAATAAATATTATTTCACAAAAGAGAAGATCATAATTTATTGATAATATATAAAGATTGGCATAGTTTTTGTAAATAATTATATACACTAACAGTTTTTCAACTTACTGACATGTTAAAGAAATATAAATTTATTTTTTCATAATTAATATTTCTCTCATTTCCCTGAAGGTATACTTTATTTCTTCTTCTAAATATGTGATACAGATTGTTTAAGATGAAATGTCATGATTTCAAAAATTTGTAAGTCAAAAACTATTAAAGACAAAAAATTAAACTTAAAGAGTAAAATGTTCTTTTTGTTATATTTTCTACCCTCATATGATGCGTGTACTGACCACAGGTTGACCATTTTCATAAAAACCAAAACTATAGAGAAGTTTATTGAATTAATCTGTTGTGACAGTAAAGAAATTCAAGACCCCAGACTTCACATCCAATCATCATTTTGTGCAGCAATTTCATGATGTAGGCATAGTGTATGAACTGCCCAAATATCATCATTGAGCAACATGTGCATAAATAAGAATGTGCAAGACAGTAACTATAAAGTGATCAAGAGTCCCCACATGACATCACTGGTGTGTGTCAAAGACAATTTAGCATTTTCTTAATAAGAGGGTGAATATGTTTCCATGTACAATTCTAATGCAGGGGAAAACAAATCTGGGTAAGCAACAACAGAAATGCCTTTGCAGAAGCATCAGTGGCATAGCATGCAGCATATAAACCATGGGAGGACTATGATAACTCTCCCAAATTACTGGATACCAGTGTGGTTACATCACAATGCAAAGATGTGTGGTGACAGAGTTTCAGAACCGAAAAAGAATTATCCTTAAGTTTTCAACATCATATGTTGTCCTGATAAGTCCTAAATTAACTTCGCTGGAAATGTTTGCAGGTAAAATGTGAGATTTGAGGTACTTGAGAACCTGGATGAGGTCTAAATTTCAGTTTCATCCTCAAAGGATGACCTGGTGTGTTGTAACCAAATAGGGAGTGATAAGGCCTTTCTCTTTTTGATAAATGTGCTAAAGCTAATGGCACATGCTGCACACATCATTCATAATGGAACCGTGAAGTAAACATTTTTCAATTAGACGTTCATTATTATCAGAGTACTGTACCTTGTTGACTTTCAACAATCTAATAGTTGTTGAAGAAAATGCATGTAGTTTTTCAAGGTGCATACTGTCAGTGATAATATTCTTGATCAGAATGATCCAAACTGTTTACCAATAGATGGCCAGAGTGTAGATTAATGCAATATTGGAAGCTTATACCTTGTTAGTTATGTGACTTATCAACATGAGTTTCCTATTAAAGTTTATTTGTATGTCTTTTTAATGAAAAAACATGAAAATTAATAATGAGTGCATGGGTAGATAAGTTCAAATGTGGGGCCAAATGAAACCTGCAGGTTGTCAGTTGACCATGCCGCTATAGGTGCATATGTACATTCAAAAATGTTGTGAAATCTGAAGCAACAAGACAGTCTGAAAGTGGCACATAACCAGCACTAATACATTGCAGTAAGGCAGTTTGAAAGTGGCACATCACCAACACTAATACAAGAGGTACTTCTCAAGAAGAAATAAAACAGTCTGAAAGTGGCATATCACCAGCACTAATACAAGAGGTACTTCTCAAGAAGCAATAAAACAGTCTGAAAGTGGCATATCACCAGCATTAATACAAGAGGTACTTCTCAAGAAGCAATAAGACAGTCTGAAAGTGGCACATAACCAGCACTAATACATTGCAATAAGGCAGTCTGAAAGTGGCACATAACCAGCACTAATACATTGCAATAAGACAGTCTGAAAGTGGCATATCACCAGCACTAATACAAGAGGTACTTCTCAAGATGCAATAACACAGTCTGAAAGTGGCACATAACCAGCACTAATACATTGCAATAAGACAGTCTGAAAGTGGCACATAACCAGCACTAATACATTGCAATAAGGCAGTCTGAAAGTGGCACATAAACAGCACTAATACATGAGATACTTCTGCAGAGTCGGAAAAGGTAGAAATTTTTGTGAGAAAGAAAGTATAAAACCAGAAGACGGACAAAAAAATACCAAAATGAACGAATAACTGAAAAAATCGAAAAAAGTAGTCAGATTTAATTGACTTAGCTCAAAAAGGTGATGCAGAATCAGGTGACATTTTGGGCATACATGCTAACTTATTTTTTGAGGGGAGTACCTAACAGTGATGTGGGTAACACACACATATCCTTTGGAAGACCAGCATTATTGCTTAATTTAAGTAATGCTATGTTTTCTCAGTCTGGAACAGATTCTTCTCTAGAGTTTTACTTATTTACAGAATTATTCTGAAACTTCAAGTAAAGGTGTTGTGGTCTTTTTCTCATTCATTAAGTTGATTGCTTTGTGTCTTGAATAAAGACTATTTTCACATTTTGTCCAACCTCTTTCTTTTCACAATTTAGTCAAACTCAGAGAACACAGTTTAACTCTACATAACATTTTCTGAACCTGCTGCTATTCTTCAGAACCTATCTAATTATGCTGGTGGAAAATCAGTGCAACTGAGAATATCAAACCCTCACTAAACTTGATTTTCTGTACATGCACAAAAGATAAATACTATCCAAATACATGTACATATCTTTGTTCATAAAGTAGTTTACAGTCAGTATACTACACCATGGTAGCCAATGAAACCATACTTATGGTGATAGAATGTTTTGGCAGTGCAAATGGTTTCAATAGGATGGGTACCCCACAAGCCATTGATGATGATATTCTGGACTACCTGCATTCTATATTTGACAGAAAGGTAACCTCAAACCACTTTTCTGAATGTTTCGACATTGGAACTATCCTAGGCACTGTCTAGCCCTGACCTATTTAAACTTGTGCTTTTTTCTTGTGGGCATACTTTGAGGAACAAGTAAAAAGAATGGATAAGATCAACAAAGAACTGAAAACATAAATTCAGGTTTTCACAAGCTATATCATTTGAGACATTTTGAAGAAAGTGATGAAACTGTGCTCATGGATACCTTCTATTGTAAATCAAAGTGGATATTATACTAAACATATCCCTACATAAATAAAAACTTATGTTTTCTTTTATGGTACAGGTTTCATGTTTGTATCATTGCTAGTTTTGTGATGATACATTTCTGAGTCATAGCTTTTCATCTGAAATAAACTGGATTTTTCACATTTCAATCCAAACTCCAAATAAGGTATCTTAGTTTTTTAGGGAAAAAAAAATTAATCATGTGAATATTTTACTAACTTATTCCAAAAATAAAACCCATTTAGTAGGTAATTTCTAAATCAATAAGTTATGATAATAATAACAATTTATAAATATAATCTTTAAACAGGAGTAAAAATTATACCTCTTCCTAGGTAAAAGTTTATTCTGACAAAAGTAAACTTGAACAAATACTAAAACAGTTATTCAATATAATTAGCAATGCAAAGTTGATATCATACTTATTTATTACATTTTTTAGACAACATAGAAGTAATTTTGCTTTATTATAATAGCAATATGTCATTCTTAATGCCATAAGATTTCTATTTACCATCAGAGTGATGGTTGAAGATTCTAGTCAATAAGGTTGCAGTACTGACCAATATTATAGGACCATTGACTATCAAGCAAGGAAAGTTTGACTCTCTTTCAGCATATGAATATTTTAGGAAATATTCTGCAATTAAATAAAAAGTTCTGACAGTCTGTCAACAAAAAGTCTTTCCCAACAAAGGCACAAAACCAAATGCATCTTATATATAATTATTAGCAAAGTCAAGTTTTGGTACCATGAAATATGAATGTAACTAGAACATGTCTTGAATAATTGGAATGAGTAATCAACCCTTAGATATAGAGAACAATAAAAACAACAATCTACTGAATAAAAATACATATATTTTACAGCCTTTTAAGAAAGCTAACCTACATGACACAATATTTTTGGCACCGAATTATCTGACCAATTGAGAAGTTACAGTTTAAGAATAAAATGTTTGAATAATCATAAGAATGAATGAAAAAAGCTTAACTTTAACAACTCAGTTATATGATGTCAGATCACTGAAACATATATTTCAAAAACCTCTAAAGATTTATACCAAAACTGTAACAAAAACAAAGTTGTTACCCTTTGATATTTCACTTTTAAGTTATAAGCTCAATTAGTATGTACTTTTTAATGGTTTTCTTATGATTATTGCAAATTATTATAGGTATTAAACCCTTGTGGAGAAATATATTTTATATATGATATGTAAATTAGCTTCTATAAGAAAATTATATTTTACATTTTGTTGTTATATACACAATAAAACTAAACATCGAAAACGACTATTTCCACTGATGAACACCACTGGTTTTTGTCAACACATAAAAATATTGCTAAATATTCTAAGATTAGAAACAATATACATTAAATCATTTGGTAATACTGATTCTTTAGCCTGTAGGTATAAAATATGTTTTCAAATTAGAATAAGGGTTCTTCTAATATTGAAATTCTAGTGATATAATGCATGTTCAACAACACAATGTTACTCTAACTAGAAATTAAATAAATCACTTTTTAAAAACCTTTTCCACAGCATTGAAAGATTCCTGGTAAAGCCCTATCAAAGACTGTAAGTACTTGGCCCTTCTAGCTACATCAGACTTTTTGCTAAATTGTGACGTCAGCAAGTCATTCATATCTTGTATGTCCAATCCTAGAAGATTAAACATATCTATTAAACTTAAAACTTCATTAAATGTTTTATATGCTATACAGAGGCTAAATACATCATATTCAAATGATCTGGATCCTTGCCACATCTGAGATACAATTTGTTTTAGATCTCTTTCCGAGTGTTCCTGGTGCCCCAAATTTATCCATATTCTATTTTTTTCCAATGTCATATAATGGATATCAATATTTTCAAAATTTGAAATCCCCAGTCTAAGCATATTTTTATGATATGAATATATATGAATATTTTGCATCAAAAAGAGCTGTTAAATACCTTTCCCAAAAGTGATAAATTTTTGGTAGCATTGCGCTACATCAAAATATCAAACTGTCAAAATGTAGTTCTGATACATTCCATTATACCATGACTTTATATTGTTATGGTGGGAATGCCTTTTTCAAGTCAGCAAAGCATGATTATAATTAATTATACTTGTTATATGACAAGTGAATTAGTCCTATTATATTTTTAAACAATAAATTCTTCATCTAGACCATCAGGAATTTTTAAGAGTTAAAAGAGTTGGCAGTGGATATGATGAATTTAGTGTGATAGGAATACTACCATTATACATTCTACAAATTCTTTAAAATCCCTGTATGCCTCTCAGGCTATAACACAGTGGTGTCTGACTGACCTTGGCTTAATCTAATGACAGTACTTACGTCATTGTAATTACATATGCTACTTGTTATTTCTCATATGAATGATAAAGGATTCTCACTAAATATTAATGGTTTCAGTAATAAATAAATAGTATGATACTTATGCACATATTTAATGACAAAGTTTAAATTTACGCAGATATTCTTTAAAAGATTTATTCTGATATTTTTCACAAAACATGCACTGCACATAAGGGAATACTATGAAGGGAGTCAATTTTTTTATAACTGTAGTAAAAACACTGAATTTCTTTTTTGGTTCAGCTGGGAATCTGTAAAAAGATATACCCTGTCTAATGGTGCAGCCAAAAATGCAACAGTGGAAAAGCATTTTCAAGTTCTTTTCATTGCTCTGTTGTCTGATATGAAAGACACTATTGAAATCCAACAGGCAAAATATCCATTGTTTTTCAAGTATATTCCAACTGGAAGTTTTCTATATCTTAACAAACTGGAATCCAAGACACAAGACTTATCAAATGTTCTTTGAAATGCACTTCACCAGGCAACTCTTAGAATAGCTGGGGTTCTTACATTAAGTAGTACTGTAATGGTCTAAAATAAACAAACAGCCACTACCACCAGGGCTGAAAAAAAAAATTATTATGACAACCACAGAAATCCAAAATAAAATTTTCAAACAACTGGAATACAAAGTTTATAACTTACCAGAAACACAGTTAATAAATACATGCCTGGCCAGGACTTGAGACTAACATTAATGAGCAATACAACATTAATGTTAATAATTATTTCAATAAATAATGGAATCAGGAAAAATAACCAGAAGAAAAGAAAACCTAATTCCAAAAGAATACAATATTCCATATTTAAACTACAAAATCACTAAGAATAATCAAGTAATAATCAGCAACAATACTTTAACTGTATCTTGTGAACTAACTCATGAATCTAAAGGTAGGGATTTTAGTTAGTCATTAGTACTTAGACCACAAGATTACATCTCATGTGACTACCTAATTATTATCATAAACTTACATAATCTTTCACAACATTAATAGTATCTGTACATCACCGTTAGTGAAAGCTAGTGTCAGTTTCATAATGCATACATACTCAAAATCAATGTGATCAGCTAGAAGGTGAGTTAGTGCTTTAATGTAACTAAACATTCATAGCTAAGTTGAACAATAGAAAAATAATAAAAGAATGTTAAAGAAAACCATAAAATAGTTGTAGAATTCACTTCCTCACAGTACTTACCTAGACTACATTAGCTTAATTTCAATTAGTATTTGGAATGAATAATTAGGTATATACTATTGTTTCTGTACAAGCATTCACAGAACTCAAAATGTTATTTGTTTATTGTAAAATCATGGCTACATGTTCAACAACCTGTACATACTAGTAAATTTTTGGAACAGGTTTGTTATTTGGTTATAGAATCAATTGTTGTCTAAATTATTTCAATTAATAAGTTTTAGTAAACATTAGATGATCATAATTGCACCAAATGTTAAGCTTAATCTTGTAAATTAATTTACATATGTATATTGTAAAGAGTTTAGTTTGGAAGATGGTCAAGTTCAAGCACTTTTTTGGCAATATAAAAAAACCTCTAAGTTTAACCAAATATCTATACCAGATACACTCATCTGAAGATGTATATTCACTTCTGATTCCCTACCATTGATGAGTTATACTGTTTGAAGTCTTAAGATTGGAAAAAATGTGAAAAACGAAGGAAGAAAAAACATTTTACTTATATAGTTGGCCTTCAACTAGCATAAAGCCACAACTGTTTTTCTGGTGGATATTTCATGATTGTTAAACATATATACATGCAATAAAACAACTGAACTTTAATCAGTTTTAATACTACACAGAAAATAGTTTCCAATCCCAAAATTTACAGTGCACTGTATGTTGGATGGTGTAAGTTGGATTCTGGTTATTAGCTTAAATAACTTCAACTGGAAAAAATATGGTTTATAAAGGACTTTCAGTTTGAAATGGTCTATATTCAAATTATAACATGTTTTCTAAATATAACTTTCAAAAACTATGCTTCAGATCCAGTTATAATCTACTGAATTTCACTTTATGTCCAAATGTATGTCAGTAGCTATCTTTAGTTCATTCCATTCAATGATGTAACTAAATAATTAATCTTTATAAGCTTTTACTACTATCTAACTGTTAGAGTAGATAAAATATATTTGTATATTCTTTATAAACTTCAGTGTTAGGAAAAAAATGGCTTCTTTTTTACAACACACATTTCTTAATAAAAAATTTAAACAGGTATTTTGCTCATAATTTAATTTTCTTTAAAAAACAGAAGCATTTTTTTGCAATATTTGAACACTATATAAATTCGAAAGACATAAAAAATTAAGCATACTAACAACACATGTAAACTAACCTGCTGAAAACATTCGTCCTGCTCCTGTCAGGATCACAGCTCTGATGTCTGTGTCATCCGAGATTTCTCTAAAACAGTCCAGGATCTCCCTGTAGGTTCAACAAGGGTTAAATTCTACTAAAGCATCAAAAAATAAAACTCATACAAGATAAAACACCACTGTTATGTAAAAAAATATATGAAAATAAAATATTTAATGAATACAAGTGTTTTGATATGACAAACTATGGAATTTAAATATAAAATGAGCTACATAAGAGTAATGATAAAAAAATTACTAAAAGTGAAATTGAAATGCATTAGAATCCAAGACTCCTTTAGGCTCCAATGTCAGATCTGCTGAGCATAAGCCTACTAAAAAATATAGAAGTTTGTGCCACTGGGATACTTGTGAAAGATATCCCAGGCTCTATTCTGAACCTAGTATGCCAGACAGGGGTCCACCAAGGGTAAGGTTCTGATACTCCATTCTTAACCCTTAGCACATATTGATATGAACATCCTCTTTATAGAAGTTAACATTTTCCTAACTGAAAATGTTTTTTCCAATAGATACTTATCTTCTCTCACAAAATAGGTTTACTCAATTAATACTGCCCTCTATCAGTGAAAATTTTCAATGCTCACCACTAGCCTTCCATCTCCCATCTCTGCATATCCACAAATAGGAGCATGACACAACCCCTTTCATAACCAGCACCTTCTCCACCTTTTCACTCATTAATCTCTTTGAGACTGGACAGAAGACCTGCACCACATATCACTGGAAGTGGGGAAGTCGGGTGGGAAATGTCAGAAGAGGTAAGTATCTCATTATTTAATTTCTATAGTGGATATTGGTGTATAGAAGACACATTAATACTAGAAATAAATGACCTTATAACATCAAAATGTAGTTTATATTCAATTACATACACAACTTTTCGCTTTACTTCTTCTGGAGCATTTCACTAAAACACAAATGGAAACTGACAGTACAAAGCTTCAAATGGTTTAGTGAACACTCCTGAAGAAGCTGTAAAGCAAAACATTGAATATCTAATTAAATAAAAGCAACGTTTTGATGATATTTCTAGTACTAAGAGGTAAGTATCTACCAGAAATACATTTTCAGTTTAGGAAAATGTTAATTTTGATTCGATATTTTACCTCCACTCACAAAATAGTCAGAATCCCACACTGAACTGGTAGAGGGCCAGTGAAAAAATTATTTCCCTTTAGGAAGTGCCCAAAGAGAGACCATGAGGTGTGGAAACAAAAAAGAAAAATATCACACTTCAGCAGGAGACCACACCACATCTGATCCAGGTATACTCTTCACACTTTATGACTGTGTCGCAAACATAAAATGTGGAAAAACATGAATGAATCCCATAATATTTATTACTGATTAATGGGACGTGGGGAAAGGACGATGCATGGAAGCGGAAGAACAGGAATAGGATCAGGAGATGTGGAGGAGGAAGGTTGTGATAAACGATTAGCAAGGGAAGATAGGGAAGTATGCAACCTGGTCACATCAACACAGGACTCCAAAGAATTGGGACAGCCCCAAAAAACAGTGTCACACAAAAATGGAGCCATCCTTAAGTCCCTGAGGGAATATGGGGGGAGACAAACCCCCACAAGCAGCTCGTCTCTCCATAACAAGTCCCCAAAACAAGGCATTCAGGGAAGTAGTGGAAAGGCCAATGATGAGAAATTCACCAAAGTCAACCAAAGAAGGGATCTGAGGTCCTCCGAAAAAAATCATCTGGAGAAAGATGAAAGGCCTCAGACAAAAGGTTCAAAGAGGAGAGGTAACACAAACTGTTAGTAAGTGTAAGTAAGACGAATCCTCAAAAATTGTGGATGTGAAAATGATACAGAAGCTACAGGATTAGAACCCTAAATGGGTAACAGTGGATCTAATTGCTTGGAATTCAAACAAGGGTTTGAAGAGCGATGAAATACATGTTGGTCAGAAACTAGAGGATGTCAAGGCATAATAATCCCCCCCGAACAGGTCATGGTAAGTGGATCTGACTTTCTGGTTTGTGCCTCCATAAATAAAGAAGATTGAATTTATATATGGAGAAATAGATATATATATATATATACTATAATGAGTCATTTATGTTAAAATCAGGACATCACAGAAGAGTGGTGAAAACAACAGGAAATTGGCAAGTCGGAGCAAACAACTGTCATGTTACAAAAACAAGGGAAGATTGAGATTTTATTTAAATATTTTCTTTTTTAAATTAAGAAATTAAAATTTATACTCTATCAAAATTTGATTTATTAACTATGCTTCGATGACAAGTTTAATCATATTCATTGATAATAAAGTAGTATTTTGAATGTAACTCTAAAAAGGCATGACATGCATAATTTGGCCTACCTCTATGGAGAGAGTTAAAGGTGTCCTGAGTAATTATACCCAAATCTATCTATAATGTAGTACAAGTGAATATACTTTCCAGAAAAGAGCTAACAATCAATTGCTGATGTATAAACTTAAGCAGTCTCCCCCCAAAAAGAACTGTCTAAGTGAGAACATGAGAAGTTAATGGAAGCTAAGTTAAATAGTAACTTGTTTTGTAAAAATAGCTACCTTGAAATCACGCTGCAAAAGAACTCAAGATAAGAAAGTGACTGTTCCACAATCAGTAGGATACAGAATATAGTCAGTGATCCATTCAGTTATGTTTTAAATTTAAATATTTGAAATAGAAATTGAAAACTATATGTTGGAAAGTTTTAACAATACTTGAAGAGCAGTTTATGATGTTTATACTCATTCACTTATTTGTTTAAGGAAATGACTTTGTACAGAAAACTTTATTTCTAATGTTTTGCATATTCTCATATTCCTCTAATAATCTCATACCTCCAAAACACTTTGTTCATTGCATTCAACTTTTCAGGTCGATTAAGTTGAACATGGAGAATATGTTTGTGTGGAGAAGTGATGTCCAATGTTTCATATGACATAGTATATGTTGCTTTCTCTGAAAACTTTCTGTTAGGCACTGCTCCAGCTAATGATTCAATCCGAAGTATTGGAGCTCTTCTGACTGCTAACCTTCCTACAGATAAAATCTTCTTAGTTACGTATACATATGTATATATATAAACAAAGATGAGATAAACAACAAATGCTCTTTACCTGCTTAATGTTCAGACTGTTCTTCAACTTTAACAGAACCAAACAAAAACAAACAAGTGTAGTAAAAATCATAAAATTAAAAAATGAGTTTAAGATGGCTAATTAATATCAAAATAAAATATTCAATTTAAAAATCTATAAAAGAGAATTAAAAACTACTAAGTAAAAATTTAATCTAAGAAATATTAAAACATATTTACATTTAAATTTCCTTATAAAGTTTTTCATATTTCAGTCTTTTCTTAAAAAAATATTTACATAAGTGCAAGCAGAAATATATGATTATCTTAAGTTCCTGAAAACACTGGTACATTCATTAACATGTCTAAAACAAGGAAAATACTGTTTTCTGTATTCCTTAAGGAACATTTATGTTGCTTCAAAAGAGTCTAACATAGTTTGTTGAACTATCTATATAGGACATACTCCAAACAGTACAAATTACCAAATAAATATAGTTTGTAGATACATCATTAAAGTTTCTTTTTGTTTGAAATATAATACCATGGTTAAGTTTCTTGGTTCATATAATTAATATAATTCTTTACAATAAAGTTGGCATTTGTTATCATTACAATTTTATAATTATTACTGTCATGACATAACAAACATTTAAATTTCTTGGCTGATGACAAGCAATAAATATGGGTAGTTACTGAAAACATATTTAAGTTTTCAGCACAACATTTAATCATATTTACTATGGTGAATATGATAACCATAGAACTAAGACGAAAAATAATAATCATGGATGTATTCCCTTGCCAATTTACATTGCATGATGAAAGTGTTTAGTTAAAGTAAAACTACTCTTAAAAAGACCATCTGTCTTTGCAGTTAAAATGTTTTTACTCCTTTTAAATCCATACTTCAAATCATCCTTGACATAATTTTCAAAATGTTTAGTTAAAGTAAAACTACTCTTAAAAAGACCATCTGTCTTTGCAGTTAAAATGTTTTTACTCCTTTTAAATCCATACTTCAAATCATCCTTGACATAATTTTCAATCATTTCTTTAGTTACGTTGGGACTTTATGAATTATTTAAAAAATCAACTTGTCCATTTATCAGTACCATGATTATTCTCACATATGTTTGTTCAAGAGAGATTTTAGGTGATTGCTTGGGCCAAAAAATGCACAGATGTAGGCTTATCCTGGCTATTGAGCAAGGCAGTGGACAAAGCAAGACTTTCTGACTTGCAGTTTAGTGTGGAGCTTAAAAGATAACGCAAATAGGACCACTTGAGCCAAACAAAATGGATGAAAGCCAAATGTAGAAAAATGTTATAAAATACAGTGTCATTATTATTATTATTACACAAACAATGCAAATACATAGTAAAAGAAAACAGTAAAATTTAAATGACATTATAAAAATCATAGGACTTCAAAAGGATACACATTGTTAAGTTGAACTGACATCATCTCCAATGACACTGTTCAAGTAAAAAGGTATATTGCTTATATAAACATACTGAAAATGCTGCCACATTTGACCATCAAAGCAATGGCAGAAAAAGCAATGTAGGTAACATTCAGGTGAGTGTCATACTCCCCACACCATAGCTGGTCATTCTCCAGTGTAAAATATTAATATTACCAGGTTAAAAGCTATGACCAGTGTGGAATCATGTTAGGATAATTTCTTCATTATGAACCCTGTGCAAACCAGATAGTCATTGTTCGAAGACAAACTTGACATGGAAATCGTTAGTTCACTTCAATGCTGCTGACCTCTAATAAAAAATCCTCATGGATAGCATATTTAAAATCCATGTATGCATGGTCAGCCAAACCATTCACCAAAAATCACAACATGGCCAGAGGTAAAAACAAAAAACATTCAACACAGACAATAAAGCTAAATGGATCATTATGTTATGAACATGAAAAAAAAAAGAACATGGAAAACCTGTAAGAGATGTCAGACCAGAAGTGAGCTGAGTAGTCAATCAGTGTACATGGTACATTGGCTACACTGATTAACCTTTATATGATCCAGGACAGTGAGATTTTAACAATGCCTCAACAAACAGAATAACCTGATTTGGAACATTCATAAAAACAATAATGAAAGAGGGAGAGCTCAAACAATATTTGTTCATGAAAAAAGAAGAAAAACTTCGAATCTTATACCACCTCGATGACAGATCACAGGTGGAAACAGTAACAAGCCATGCTAGATAGGCTTACCATCAGACATGCAACATTATCAAAAAAGAGACTGACCTTACTTAAGATTGTCTGGATATAAAGACTAAAAAAAGGAAAACCAGACTGTCTATTTGCAAAGTGCATGGCCCACTGAAGCATACAGACATGATGTCAACTGGGAAGTAACAGAAAGAATTGTAGCTTTGTAACAAAGGATAGCTATAAGCATCGATATGCAATGAGGGTTCAAAGGACACAGTATACAAGCTCTGGGCTGGAAAAACATATATATATGTCTCATTTGCACAGCCTAAGACCCTAATGATGCACATGATCAATTATTTTTAATGTAGAATTCCTAACTAAAGAACACAGACAGTTATGGATGTGGAAAACCAAAACCCATTTATGGTAGGCCACTCACATATTCAAGTAAGAGCAGTTTAGAGCTGCCTCTTGATAAGCCCCACATTTGACAACTGACAGGAAATGTGAAAGTCACCAAAACAGAGGATGTTTACAACAGACAGTGGAAGTGTTCATAATAGCATTAACATTGATGGAACACCCAGGTCCTAGAGTGTGAAGTTATTGAAAATGTCGAACAGCATGAGCCTCAAATGACTTATTCACTAAAACATTACTAACAAAAATTAGTAAATGTCCAAATAAGCAAGGCCTAGAAAAAAAAAGATTTGTTTCCTATTACATGCTGAAAAAATTAGGGTAAGTAGGTAGGCATTTTTTAAAACTTTTTTTTTACATCCTCAAAAATAGGGTAGGTAGACAGAGTATTGGGCTAATTGGATTTTTTCACAGTATCCTTTGTTCTACTGGTATTTTCAACTTCAACAGAGCATTTTGGTTTAGGCATACAGTGAAATTCAATTGATTTGACACTGAACATGTCTACTAATTGGTCTATCCCAATGTCCATTGAAACTTTGCCCAGATCAACATGTGTTGATGTCTGCTCATAATCATTTGAATCTAGTTTAGGATGGTATGAGTCGAACACGTCTTTGACTGTTCCAGTAAACTGTCTTTTCAAGAGAAACATAAGGGCACTTGATAAAGACAACAGCCAATATTCTAGCTGCCATGATCAAATGTTTGACATTGCCTGAATGGAAACTCAGCTATAATTGGCTGAGAGCATTAACACACCACACCAACTAACGAATCATAGACGTGATTTCTTATGACTTTCATCTTACACAATATGGTAGCAGACTGGTGCAATAATTTAATGAAAAGAATGAGATGAATGTTTTTGGGGGGAAGAGTTGAAACAACTTTAGGGTCAGGCATATTTACATAGGGTCAGTTGGGTAACCAGAAACAAAGCATAATTATTTCTAGAACCAACAGGAATGAAGGTCTCTTTAGACATTAGTATACTATACTTCTGTGTGATATGTCATTCCTAGATCACAAAAATATGGACAAAATCTTCACAGTTAACAATTTTACAAAATTTATGAGATTTAATGTTGAGTTTTATCAGGTGGATTTGTATCTTTGAAAGTGACAATGAGTTTGGAAAAGAAGTTGTTTGATCTCAGGAACCAAAAAAGGCAAGTGTTAATCACCATCTCTTAACACTTCAAAAATACAACTAGTCAAAGCAATAGACCTAGAAATGCAGGGTCTCTTGGGATCCTTCCTAGGCTTTGGCCCAATATCTCAAATCGTCCCTTCCTACTAGATAAGTTTAAAAAAGAAATGTTGAAGAGAGAGAGAAGGCACAACAACTTGTAATAAATATCATCCAATCCAAAAGAACTGCCAGACATGTGTAGTTCTGATTGTAGTTCCACCTGTATAAAGGCCTATTGCAGTCCTACTGGCCATCAGACAAAATCCAAGAAAAATGCTTTTGGACTTTGTCTTAATGGACAAGAACTTTTAGAAGAGTATATACTTTCCATTCAACTTTTGCATCTAGTCCACACATTCCTTTTACTCCACTATCTTGTACATTGGGTCTTATATTTATGCAAAGAGGTTAAAATGAGTGAGGTACCTACAGAAGATGTTCCAAACTGTATTCTTGGCTTAACAAACTTGCTGGTAGGCAGGATTACACTATAGCTAAAGGTAAAAATGGAGAATTGTTAAAGTTTTAGATGCAGTATGAAGTGCTGCATAGACAATGTGGTCACTCACAGATTTAATATCAATAGACTCATTAACAGAACCTCCTCCAACAATGGGAAGATCACATTTTGACAGAACGATGGTCAATCAACCTTCTCCAGTTTTCAATATGACACTCCAAGTTAGAAGGCTCAAAATGATAGAAAAAGATTTGGTGAAAGATGGACATATAAGTCTTAGTAAAATACTAATTCCAGCCATGATTATATGTCAGGGCACAAGAATTCAAGACAGAAATTATGATCCAAAGGTATAAGATCCATGGACCTATCCCTCCCATTTGTATCAACATATCCCCAGAGTAGCTGAAGTTTCTAACAATGATAAATGGAAATGGCATCTAATCTGTGATATCACTAAGATCTGCTTAAGCAACAGCTTTCCACAGATGAAAGATAAATAGGACAAACTGTTATTGTATTGTTAATGCAGATGTGGAAGACAAAAGCTTCCATTTGTGTGTAAAACTGCATGGGTATGGATTTGACGGACAACCAAAAGAAGAAGAAAAATACAACGTACCTTCTTTCCATACTTCCACTCACACATTAACATGAGTGTAAGCTTTTACAGTTGGAACAGTGTTGCTCTGAACATGTCAGTACTATCAAAATCCTTACCACCTCAGCAGTAACATGCAAAGATCCATGACAAACCAAAGGAAAGTATTATAAGTTACTAAGTGTAATAGATGACAGACTATCCCAACTAACTGTTTCCTTCAACAGTAACCAAGACTTGTTTATCTCCGACTGTACCATATGGCAGCCAATAACCAGGTCTGAAAACCATTTATCTCTGATACAAAGAAATAACAATTGTTTTGGTGATGTTTAAAGCATAATCTGTACACAATAAATAACTTGAAGCAACTGATGTGGTCTGATGAGTTGCTTTTCTGTGCTGGTGGTAGATCAAAATATAGAGAAAACTGCATGAGAACTTGATAACCCTCATTGTGTTATTCTGATAAAGCAAGCTGATGATAATGGTATGACGGTATGGGAAATCTTAATATGGCAGAAGGGTTGGCAGGAGTGCAATTACGTTTATCTTAGTGACAATGTGTCAGTTACTTGGTGTAATATCAGTTTAAGTATAGGGAATACATTAATAAGTTCCTTTTTAAGTTATGTGCAATTTCTTCTCCTTCCAAATGAAATTGCTTTGCTTTATATCTTTCATAAATGGTTCATCTTTGATAAATTTAGGTTCTGATGTATTTAGATGTATTGTTTAAGTACACTGTTACTGTTTAAATAATGAAGTCAGAAAGTAACCTGCATATTCACACTTAGAATTTTCAATATGTCTCCACAATTAGCATAATACTTGTGGCTTTATGTAACAAAATTTCATTTATTAGTATTCTTCTAAACATTATGTGATAAGACCTAAGAATACTCAACTGGAAAATTTAAAAACAAAACAAAAAACATTAGGCAAAATTATACTAAATGGTATAAAAGGATATGCAAAATTGATACATGATTTCTAGAAATTTGCAAGTATACAAGAAGATCAGTGAAGAATAAATAACATTGAAATGACCTAAAATTTCAAATACAGTACTAGATTGTTTCTTTAATTTTGCAAAAAGCTACAAGAGGGCTACCTGCCATAACTGTCCCTAATTCGAAATGGATAGACGAGAAGAAAGGCAGTTAGTAAACACCACCCACAGTCAACTCTAATCAAGTAGTGGGGTTGGTCATCACCATATAATACCACCATGGTAGAAAGAGCAAGCACATTCACACATACAGTACAATCAAGTAAACAGAAGCATTCCAAAACATAATGATGTTTTTTTTTAAACTAGTATATATATAATATAAATAATTCTATGTCAGTGGATAATTTATGGTAGTTTTATACTAAACTGAGAAATGTAGTAAATTTGATATTACAATACCTTTTCACATAGGCATATTCACAATCTGAATATATCGACTTTATTATATTACACATAATTTTTCTTATACTTAAATTTGAGATATTTAAAATCCATCGAATTTGTTTCATCTGAAAAAAGTATTCCATAACATTTATTCTACTTTAGTCTTCTGAAAAATTACTATCACTGAAGAATGTTTTACCTAAATATATTCACAAAATTTTTGTGACCATGTACATTTTACAAGCCAACAATGTTCCTAATGATTCCTAGTATATTAGCAATACTATCACATTATACTAACTAGAGTACATTACCTTCAAAGTTTAAGATAACAATATTTAACCTAGCATATGGAACTCTATTGCATTTACAGTACATCACTTATCCAAATTATAAAAATATATATATATTTTCTCTGAGTAGAAAAAAAGAAACATTTCTGTATAACAAAACAAAAAAAATATATATATCACATCAAATTGTGGAAGATTTACCAGAATAAATCTATTATAGATATCAGAAGTCTCCTAAGCTTGCTAACAGTACGATATAAAAGAAACTGATTTGCAAGAGAAAATGTTGATACAGGGAAATGTTTCAGAAAAACAAACAAATTTGATTTAAAAATTGTACAGTATGATACAAAACTTTAGAAGTTAGTCTTATTTTATATGGAATAAATAAAAGTATCATAAGGTTTTTATTCAGGTTTTATGCTTGCCAGGTGATAGAACAAACTTTGTGTTACTGCTGGAAATATCTTGAATATCCAAACTACCTAAAGCTTGGAAGCCTAGGTTAAGGCTTGTTAATTTTTACATAAAATTATCCTATCCTATTATCCTAATGAAAATTATCTTTTTGTATTTTATTGATGGAACAGAAGAGACCTGACATCTTAAAATGAAAAATGCACCTTGATATCATTAAGTTAATACACCACTTTACTAATTTTGTTTCTTGCAATACAAAATATGTTAATTACTAAATCAGTAAACTCTTTACCTAACCTAAAAATAATATAACAATTATTTGACCGCTAGTGCAAAAACAAAATTTGATTTTTTTAGTAAATATTTTTTTCTTGTGACGTTTGCCTCTTTAATTCAGTCTTTTTCTTTTCAATTTCAGTTTTATATATCAATTTATTTCAGTTTCCAAAGTTAATTCCAGTTACAAAAGGCACCAATAATTAAATTTTAATGTAGTTACTATGGCCAAGTGCCAACTGCTTGTTTTATTCTTTATCAGTTTATTAAACTTTTATAAAGCATCTGCTTCCGTTACGAATTTGAATTAATTGATAAAATGACCTTTCGAGTTTCAATGACGTCCTATTTGGAGTAGTCTAGTTTTACCGGATCATTATGTGGCTAATTTAGAGAAATATGGCATGAGTTTTTCTCTATTGTATATTGTGTTTTAATGTAACGGTGAAACAATATAAACAAAACTCTTACCCATCAAGCCACAAATAACATTAGCAACCATGTTTTTTGTTTAATTGTGTAAGTTAATTTACTTAATAAAGATTCCCGTTCTCGATGAAATACACCTGCAATAACGGGTTTACCTCCCGCTAGATGTCGTGTGTCTAAAATAGTAGAATTATTGACAGGTGAGATTTGATTGGTTAGTAAATATAACCTATCGTCCAGATTGCCGAAGCCCGCGAATACCCACACATGTAATAGTGTAAAAATGATGTCTTCTTCAAGTTCTTGTAGTATAACAACATTAAAAGTTTATATGAGTATTCAAAAATAAGTTTTATTATCTTGTGAAATCATTGTTATTCATAATAATATGTCTTCCAATCATCTTTTAATTAAATCACAAACAAAAGTGTTATCTTGAGGGTGTTATGAAAGTATTAATGAAGGCAGACATGGTTGAGTTGATTAAACATTATATTAACATGATTCATTGAACGTTTTGGAATGTACTAATTCCCTCATTAGCGAAGACTGAAAATAGGGTGTATTGATATATAAGTACAAATAAGATAAAGTCCTAGTAATATTGGAGGAAAACGAAGCTTAGAAAACATTCAGAGGTAGTGAGCTGTATGTAGAGCTAACACGTATAATTCACGAAGCATTTTCGAATTTTTATTTTTGAAAACAACTTTTTGGATGTCAGAAGCAATATATTTCTTTATCGAGATGTAATTGGGTACTTTTTTTTCATGCAGAAGTAATGCACGTAATCAATGAAACCCTTGAAAACTAGATGTAAATAAATTGTAAACTTGTGAACTAAATCTGCAGGTGTTAAAGATCTTGCCCATGTCATCAAAGCTGTTTTGAAATGGAGATGTTGTCGTTAAAATATAATATGCAAGTCGTTTTTATATAGTTTAATTTGATTAATCAATTTTCTGTATTAGTAAGGTTTGCGAAATTACGTTTTGAATGCAGAATTTAAGGTTAGTAGTCAGTTGTGAAAAGTTTGACTGGGAAGCACGTTTTACAGACAGATTAAGTGTCAATCATCGTTTGAATGATAGGAACCCTAATTTCATTACAACAGCTATCTGTATCAATATGATGATACGTTTAAGTAATTGCGGCATAATCAATTAATTTACGAATGATTTTCTAAGATATCAGATAGCTTATGTTCGTCATCTTGTGCGTATGTCAACATTCATAATAATGAAACCACTTTTACGTGATTTATAGTTCTGTAGTGAAAACTGTAGTTTACTGTTGTTACGACAGCGGAAGTCAAGTGACTCTGGTAGCACGTGTTGAGAGTCTTAGAAGTTTCTATAACAGGCAGTATTATCGTATATAAGTGCGCTAGACAGTGAGAGAGACAGACGGAGGCAGAGACGTAGCGGAGACGAAGCAGGCAGAGAGAAAGAAAGACAGCGATTACGGTCGGCGGGAACTGAGGATAGCAGACACAGAGATCGGAACTATAGTTGGCGGGGACGGACAATTAAGTCTAAGCGCGATAGAAAGTGAGTGAATTGTTGTGAACTATAGTGTGTGTAACTGTGAAAAATAAGTGCATTACAAAGTTGTATTGAGGAAGAATAAACAAGTTTTGTAAAGAAAGGACTTGTATCTTAGAAGAATTAACAAACAAACATACAGAGACGTAACAAATTGGTGTCAGAAGTGGGATAAAAAAATGGACGGACAGAGGAGCAGAAAGTAGTATATCTGGCAACGAGCTTGAAAGGACAACTACTGGAAATACTTGGACAGTTGTCAGCAGACGACAGGCACAACTATAGAGCACTGGTAGCGGCACTAGAACTCAGGTACGGAACCCAAAAGCAGTCAGAAGTCTACAGGGCTAGGTTTAGGACGAGAGTTCGTGCTAAAGGGGAGAGCCTGCAAGAGCTGGCACAGGACTTGGAAAATATGGCACACAAGGCCTACCCAACTGCACCACCCGATCTCCCCAAGTTGTTGCTGAGAGATCAGTTTGTAGATGCCTTGGACAGTCTACAACTAAAGATACAAGTGAAGCAAGAACACCCCTCTACTACGCAGGATGCAATGGCCAGAGCTCTCGAATTTGAATCCTACATTAAGTCCAACACAGAGGTACCAAGGTTGATACAGTCGTCAGGATTCAAGGCCAGAAAAGGTCAGCTTTCAGAGAAGTTTGAGGGACTTTGCTGG